GAACAAGCCGATGCCGACGAAGAAGACAACGACACCCCAGTTGGTTCCATCCCCAGCGAGGGTGCACCTCCAGTCGCAGTACCAATCTTTGGGGGACGACCTCGTCTAGGCCTTGACGACCGTGCCTCAACAGGCATAACGTGAAGAGGCACATGCTGGTGGATCCGTGCCTCCAGGTGCTGAAGGGTCCTACCCACATACCGGCTCTCACATTGCCGGCACTCGAAGTTGTAAATAAGATGTGATAATTTAAGAGTGGGTAGGACATCCTTCTTCACCATGAAGGCACGAGCTGTTGTGTAGACGAACCGGACACTAACATTACGAAAGTTCGATTCTGCAGCTGACTTAACTCGACGTTGCATGGTACGGCAAACAGCTTCACCCTTCCAAGGCAAACGAAGATACACCGGAGTGGCCTCGGAGGACACCTGCTTCGCTCCACCCAGTGTACTAACTACGACATATTTAGATATCACATATTCCGGGTACCCATTTAAACGAAACAAAGTGCGTAGCCGCTCCAGCTCCTCATCCAACTTTGAAGGCGAACATAATCGACGAGCACGATCCACTAGATTACGAACGAGATTAATTTTGTACGACCTCGCAGTAAACGAGTCCCAAACAATGTACAAGCCGGTGAACGTTGGTTTCCGGTACACTGATGTAATTACACCACCCATACCAGACTTCTCTACAAGAACGTCCAAGAAGGACAATTTACTAGCCGATTCAAACTCACAAGTAAACTTCAGTGACGGGTGCAGCTTATTCAATAATTCAAGAAACTCCTGCGCGTCGCTCCGAGACTGAAAGTAGGACCAACTATCGTCAACAAAACGACAATACACCGCAGGCCATTTACATTTGGGGACCAATGATTCGCAGTAACCCACAAATATATTTGCAAGAACTGGACCCAACGGTGAACCCATCGCGACACCATCTATCTGACGATACATAACATTCTCAAACGAAAATTCAACGCCAGACGTAACCATATTCATAAGACGGCGAAAGTACGTCTCTTCGATAGTAACAGGAGAACCTACATTACCACGGTACATAGCATCACAGCAAATATCAATCGTAAAATCCAAAGGTACGTTCGTGAAAAGACTCACAACATCAAACGAGCACATAAAGAATGTCTCCGGGAATTCGTGATCATGCAAAAAGTCGGCAAACTCAAAACTATCCTTGACTACATATGTACTGTACATGTCGAGAACAGGCTGTAACAAACGACAAATCCACCTCGACACTTTGTACTGCGGTGAACCACACATGGACAAGATCGGACGAACTGGACAACCAGCCTTGTGAATTTTGGGTAAGCCATACATACGCGGTCGCGCAGAACCAATTGGACTAAATGAATCCGACTCGGTCTGCGTGATCTGCTTCAGCAATACTAACTCTTTAAAATAATTGCATAATTGTTCCTCTATTTTAGCCGTTTTATCATGTGTCTCAATGGGCCCAATGACAGTAAACTTCGAACTATCGTTCAGGATGGTATGTGTCTTCGTGATGTAGTCATGCTTGTTCATAATGACGGTAGCCCTTCCTTTGTCCTTTGCTACGCACTTTGTTTCGTTTAAATGGGTACCCGGAATATGTGATATCTAAATATGTCGTAGTTAGTACACTGGGTGGAGCGAAGCAGGTGTCCTCCGAGGCCACTCCGGTGTATCTTCGTTTGCCTTGGAAGGGTGAAGCTGTTTGCCGTACCATGCAACGTCGAGTTAAGTCAGCTGCAGAATCGAACTTTCGTAATGTTAGTGTCCGGTTCGTCTACACAACAGCTCGTGCCTTCATGGTGAAGAAGGATGTCCTACCCACTCTTAAATTATCACATCTTATTTACAACTTCGAGTGCCGGCAATGTGAGAGCCGGTATGTGGGTAGGACCCTTCAGCACCTGGAGGCACGGATCCACCAGCATGTGCCTCTTCACGTTATGCCTGTTGAGGCACGGTCGTCAAGGCCTAGACGAGGTCGTCCCCCAAAGATTGGTACTGCGACTGGAGGTGCACCCTCGCTGGGGATGGAACCAACTGGGGTGTCGTTGTCTTCTTCGTCGGCATCGGCTTGTTCGTCATTGCCTTCGTCTTTACCGTCTCTTCCTTCTATCCCGTCATCATCGTTGGTATCTGCGGTTTCGTCTTCTTTGACTTCCTCTGTACCGTCATCCGGTGTGTCCACCTCCGGTGGCAAAAAGCGTGGCCGGCCACCGAAGAAACCACCGGATGGTGTGTCTGCGGGACCAGTGACTCGCTCTAGGGCGAGGTTAGCAGAGTCTTTACGGTCTCCGTCGTTGTCGTCATCGTCGTCGTCAGCGTCTTCTTCATCTCCCTCCTCCTCTTCATCAACATCAACAGCCATTGGAACGTCAAAGGGAGCATCATCGCAGCAGGCAGTGCCAGCAACGGACGTGCCTTTGGTACGGACATCTACATCTGCCTCGTCTGGATTGGCAGTAGCGGCAAGGAATGTCAGGTCGGTTTCATTGTCACGTAATTCCAAAGTATGTACTGGTTCTAGTAGCGTTGTTAGGGTGTATGAATCTTCTATCGCCAACCATCTTGTTCAGAATAGTGATTGTCGTTCTAGTTATGCTGATGATTGCTTTTCTGTTTGGTCTCGTTCACGTAGTCAAAGGTATTTGCGTGTATTGGAGTCTATTTACATTTTTACCACCAGGCCGATTTTGTGTAGGCAGAAAAAGAATTTGTTTACGTTGAAATTGTTTGTGAATTTAGATCAGTAGTTCTCGTTTGTGGTTGCTTGGTAACTTTCTAGTGGTGAATTTATCGCATTTGTTGTCACCTGATATCGTTGAATGGTGTAATGTTTCTTTCAGCTCTCATTTTATCGCGCTAGTTAGGGTCTAAATTATTACTTGCATTGTGCGTATATATATTGAGTTAAGAGCTTTTGTTGATTTGCCAGTAATCCTCTGATGAGATGGCGACGAAAACGTTTAGGAACAAGCTTATTTATTATACATGAAAACAAGTTTTGCTTATGGTGTTTGTACTGAGTGCGCAGCTTACTCTATTTATTGCGTTGATTATTATTATTATTATTATTATAGGCTTTTCCGCGTTGGCATCGCCAAGCAAGCTTGGCTAGCCTTCGCATAAGCTGCTCCATAATGATGAGACGAAACAATGAATGTATGTATACACGATCTAGGACAGAACCAAGGTTGAGGATATGTTTGAAGAAAGCTGCAAGTTGTGTTGAGGAACACAAAGTTGCAAACTCTACGAAAGTAAACTGCAAGAAATGTTTTGGGGTTGATCTCATGATTATTGTAGTCACAGGTTGTGTTAGTAGCATTCAAGGTTGTGTTTTCACAGGTATATTGTTTACATTCCTATTCTTTTACAGGATAATACCGTATATTCTCTATTATAAGCACAGGTCTCCATTACTAGCACAGTCTCTAATACTAGCACACTGTGAGCACCTTTCGAAACATTATAAGCACGGTCTCTATTATTAGCACGGTCTTGGTGGAAATCAATGCTGCATGCATGATATTTAGCATGTATTTCTTCTTGCTCGGTATGGATGTATTGGTTGAAAAAATATAAGCACGGTCTCCAATATAAGCGCGGTCTCCAATATAAGCACGGGGTAGAGGGGTGTTGAAAAAATAGAAGCACGGCGCTTATAATAGAGAATATACGGTATGTACTCTTGATACTACGTAACCATACGCGTCACGTTTTGGAATACGACGTACTGGCAGACGTCGTTTTCATGCAGGTGCATTCACACAGGCCAGCACACGCTGCTCGTACAGCTGTGTGTACAGCTTCTTTTGGACACAAACTGCTGGAAACGACAGAACGAAACTCGGTACAGGGGTCTGGATACGTCGTCACGTTTTCGTATCAGTACGATTTTCCCGCCACGTTCCATATTGTCATGGCTATCCGGACGAAAACGTCACGTACGCCACGTTCCGGGCGTAGTGTGAATGGCCCATTATAAAGCGGTGGGAGGTGAGTAGATCAGCTCACCAGCGGATATTACCCTATACATAATTATACGATAAATTGTGCACTCATAACAACAGCAAAAATGAAGAAAGTCAAGTTCCATAACGTTTTCTTGTGACTGTCATCAGTGGAACGCCGTCACATAAAAATGTAATACCGTATATTCTCTATTATAAGCACAGGTCTCCATTACTAGCACAGTCTCTAATACTAGCACACTGTGAGCACCTTTCGAAACATTATAAGCACGGTCTCTATTATTAGCACGGTCTTGGTGGAAATCAATGCTGCATGCATGATATTTAGCATGTATTTCTTCTTGCTCGGTATGGATGTATTGGTTGAAAAAATATAAGCACGGTCTCCAATATAAGCGCGGTCTCCAATATAAGCACGGGGTAGAGGGGTGTTGAAAAAATAGAAGCACGGCGCTTATAATAGAGAATATACGGTATTTTCACAAAATATGTTAGTCAATGAGTTATGTTATGGTACACCGTACGGCCATGCAGCTGCCACAGGTGGAAGCAGTATTAGGCTTTGATGTATGCTTTTATCACATTGCTGCATAGGTCTTTCCAGTCTTGTCGTGACTGGGAGATGGCATGGAGGTTCTCAAGTTCCTCCTCTCATCAACAAAAAAACCATGAACAGAGGCAAAACGTGGATATGTGGTAAGGCTAACTTGCTACCTGTCAGTGAGCCTCCGCCGCCATACTTCACTTTAACTGTACGAGAATTGCTAGGAGCAGTCACTGTTACATCTGAAAGTTTTGCATTGGAATACAATTCTCAAAATTTCCCTTCAAAATAGCTGCAGTACTTCTCTGCTTGTACTGTACGGCCAACGATAAATACCAGCTTGCCATACCAGAGGTAGAGATTCGCGGTAATATACCCTCGAGGGCAACACAAATCGACTCAAACTCTCGCTGAGATCACAACGATCTCGTTTGTTCAATTGTTACTACTAGTACTCACCCAGGTAGCATTCTCTGTCCTTGTCCGTCTTTACGTCCTCCCAGTCAAACTGGTCGGCACCTCCACGCACGCCACCACGGCTCGGGTGATAGATAGCCATTGCTGAGCACAACCAAGAAGGTTGATGTGCTCTGGTCGCCAATTACAGTTTGGTCTGAAAATACTTTTTCTTGTGCCTGTTGTTCACGGTCGACCGGTCACTCGTACTCACGATTTCAAAAAAATAATGAAAAAAAATCAAATCTTGTGTACCACCACGTGATCAACGTCGCGATATGCCTGCCTTTTTGTAACCATGGTACCTAACTGGATCCAGAGAGTAGTAATATGTCAGTATTTTACTACTCCCGGTTTACCCCTACGCACACCATGCACACTGTGTTATTATACCAAGAGTATAATTCTTATAAACAAGAGTATAATTCTTATTATTATTATTATTATTATTATTATTAAATTTTGAATAGGGCAGTCCCACAGGCCTAGGGCCTTTTTACAGGGTACCCTATGAATTGTTGAATGGATGAACGGAAGTTTCTGAGCAAGGAGATTGTGCGAATATCAGCAGGAAGCGCATTCCAACGATCAGAACCAAGAAAGCTAAGCGAGTATAAACCATAGCGGCGAGAAACTAAAGGAAGACTAAGGGCGCGTTCAGACTGGCGTAAAAAACAAGCGGAATGTGAAAGTTGTCAAGGTGAATCGCCCACGTGACGTTCCCGCCAGCGTAAACACGGAAAAGGTTTCCCACCACTCTGCAGGCCAGTGGAATGCAGATTCCGGCGGCACGCGGAGCGCTTTTGATATCCTTGCAGCACATGTTCCGTCTTTTCGTTTTATTTCAGCCTCTACTCTTGCAGTCTGACTGCATGCTTTTGAGTTTTGAGTTTTTACTTCTAGACTGCCAACGAATTACTTCTCCCATCATGCCGAAATCTTTGTTCGACTCAGCAATGGAGAGGGAGTTCATGGAGCTGTACGTGGTGATTTTTGCGGGCCGCTCTGCAGGCAAAACGTTACTGCGAACGAGAAGCATACTCTGATCGCGGAGCGGATGAATGCCACCCAAGCACCAAACACTCCGGACATAGTATTCTTTCCGTCGACAAGCACAAGCAAATGCACAATGATCCAGCATCTCAACAGACTGAATTAGTTTATTTTGATATCCAACTCAAACTTAGTCAACTCAAATTTTTCAAATGTCGAAGCTTCACATGTACTGGCCATTCCGGCGGGATTCACGTGCAGTGTGATTACGATTCCCGGGATTACGCTGCAGCTTTCCGGCGGCTATTCACGCCAGTCTGAACGCGCCCTAAGTGACAAAGTGGATTGAGAGCGTGTACGGGCTGAGGTTTGTGAAGTGGCAGTGCGAGGGAGGAAGCAGGTCGAGAGTAGTGGACTGCACAACTTATGGAGGGCTCGAAACACCAGTACAAACAGGCGAAATTGATATCTAAGGGAGATAGCAGCGAGATAGTTCCTAGCTAGAACAAGAGAAGCATCGTAGTACTTCGGGTAGCCGAAGACAATCCGAACAGCACGGTTGGAGATACGAGTATTCTTATACTCTTGATTATAATTATAGGCTACAGAGTCACAGTACAGATTGTCACTGATTGTCAGTACTATGCCCTGAGCTGGTCGGATTCCATTCCGCTTCCGTGGTTGCGATCCGGACAAGATCTTGAACGAACTTTTTTTTGGGGGAAGTGGAAGTGGGGGGGGGGGGGGGGAGAGATCAGAGGTCGTCACTGAGGATCTGACTGACATGGCTCCGCTGCTCACCTGCAAAAAAGATACTGAGACTGAGGATGAAGCTGAGTCCAGGGTAGATCATGGTAGATAAGAAAGAGAAAAGGCAACAAACAGCTAGCTTGCACTGCTCTGAGAGAATTATTATTATCTAATCAGTACAGTGTAATGACTCGATGATGTGCAAACCTGGGAGACGAAGACCGACAACTCACGCACTTCAGAGTTGAAGTCCTGCAGTCTTGGCGCAGGCGACAGACTAGAGCAGGGGCCCTACAATGCTACATTGTCATTGTAGGGACCGTGCAGCAGTGAGTTTTGACGGTGGTGCACGCACGTGATTTGACATGCAACTAAGAGTAAGAGCGACTGTCACCTCCCAAGTCAGGTGCTGTAAGATCATGAAAGAGAAGGATGGGACGAGGGCTAGCTCGAGTTCTGGCACTTGGACTCCAGGACAGATCCGAATCATTACTTTTCCCTGTATCAACCGCGCAATTTTACATGTACTGTAGTGCCCAAAACCAGCTGTTTCGTGACCGTGTAGATTTCCATGATCGTTGTTCTGATTAGCGTCTTCATATCGAGCAAGTAATTAGTTAGTTGTGCAGCAAGTGTTTACCAAGCATTAGTGAGTTTTGTACCGGCGTCCGTGGGTGCCGATTATCGTGCAGGAAGCGCACAAGTCGCATCCTTGGCCAGCGTGCAAAGATGAATGGCTTCCGTGCAGTTTTGCTGTGTGGTTTGGTAGGTTTGGCGCTGCTCTCCACAGCGAGTGGCGGATATCTGAGTGGCGTTGGAGTGCAGAGACGACCGCTTGGATCTGCAGCAAGGCTTCGGGAGAGAAATTGTCCCCAACAAAACCCGACGGTAGATGGATATGTCTTTCAGCCGCTTCTCAAGTGAGTACGGTTGTAATGAGTTCCTGTGTGGAAAATCACGCTCAGACAAGCCGCACCGGTGACCTCGATGTCACTGAGTTTGACTGAGCGCAAGCAGCTTGCTTGGTGCCGTGCCGGTGGTGTAGTAAAACGTCCCTAATCCGACGTCCCTGGTCCGGGCACATCCGTCTTTCTCACCCATCGAGACTAGAGTCACAAAAAACGTTTCGCCGTTTTTGGCTGGCATAGAAAATGCTTACTTACTTGCATGGAGTAACTACTCAGCGCAGGATAAGACTTAGGTTACGTTTGGTTGGTCACATTCCCAAATGGGAATCACTTGGAATCACTCGGAATCATTCTCGCCCGTTTGGTTGGTCAAAAAAGTGCGTTAGGTTGGTCACATTCCACACGATTCCAGAATGGGAATCGCTGAGAATGATTCTTTTTGGAGAATGATCATTCCACCTCACATGCTGGAATGAGCATTCTCATTCCGGAATCAAAAATGATAATGGCTGCCACGAGCCAAACAATGTAGCGACAGGTTCAAGTGCCTCAAATCATGCACCCAGAAGTACCATGACTCTCTCAAGGAAACTAGAGTCGGGCAAAAGAAAAGACAGCCGCCGTTCCTCAACGACATCATGGAATGTGCAATGTATGGTCTGAGTTACGGGCAATTCCTATGTGTGTGTGTGTGTGTGTGTGTGTGTGTGTGTGTGTGTGTGTGTGTGTGTGTGTGTGTGTGTGTGTGTGTGTGTGTGTGTGTGTGTGTGTGTGTGTGTCTGTGTGTGTGTGTGCGTGTGTCTTTCTGTCTGTCTCTGTGTACGTGTATGTATGTGCATGTGTGTACATGTGTGTGTGTGTGTGTGTGTGTGTGTGTGTGTGTGTGTGTGTGTGTGTGTGTGTGTGTGTGTGTGTGTGTGTGTGTGTCTGTGCATTCGGCAATCTATCTACAGCAAGGACGTGTGGGCACTGCATAGACAGCCGTGCAACGACACAGCCGACCCAGCAGACAGAAGCTGCTCGTACTACTTCACATTCTGCCAAGCATTGCCGCAATCTCTCGGGCTACATGAGAACTGCTCAACTGCATCCGTTTGCAAGGTAAAACGGAAAAGAAGTTGTTTTCACTGCAGACACAACTACACTAGTCGCACAGAGAGAAAGATCAGATGAGAGTGGAAGGTTTGTCAAACGCCTCAGTTTGAATATGATAATAAGGCCACACCAAGTTAATTCTATGTTTCGTGTCGGATATTTTCTGGAAAAGGCACGCGGGCGGGCGGAAAAAAAACAAAAACAGAAGAAAAAACAAAACTCCATTCTATGTGTACTGAGCCATGTTGCACACAGAATAGCACTACTAAACTGTCACTTATATCCAAAACGACAACAAGTCGCCACAGAATGGCTGGTAGATTTGGATGGAGCGATACAATAAGAGATTTCATGGATGGCTCCTTCTGCACGTTGACGCGAGTCGAGTGGAATTCCGCTCCATCACGATCGTGGAAAATCTCGAAGTCCTTGACACCAGGAATCTCTGCTCGCTTGGTGAGCAGGCACTACGGTACGGCTAGGAAAGGTAGAAATGTTCATCTCTCGCACCTCCTACGTACCATCTCCTGGAATGCAAGTTTATCGAGAAGCTGATAACCTCTGATCTGCCATACTGTCCGAAAGTGCGATAACAGGGCACAAAACCTACATAATTATACATACACTCAATCTGCGGACAGAACTGTTTCGTCCTTTGTGGACTGGTCAGCGCAGCACAGAGGACATGAGGCCGGATTATACATACATGCATTTATGAGATTTCGTAGCCAATTCCAATTGTGTGAACTAGCTGTCAGTGTTGAGTTCATCTTGGACTGTGGGAGACCTTACCTTTTTAAACAGCATTGCATTGTATTGTAGAGATGCTACCGCAATAGAGCGTGCCAGGATCCGACTTTGGCTTGCCCGACAATGTTCCTATGTGGAACACTGAGGGAGCCTTGTCATAGCATGTACAGAAGAACCGCTTGGAGCAGGCTGAATTGTGCCCCCCCCCCCCCCCCCCCCCCACAATCACCACATTGCGTATGCATGATGCTTGCACAGGATTACATTGTCTTGGGAGTGCAGTTTGTGATTGGGGAATAGCCGTGCACGGCCAAACTTGTAGGGGTGGTCCCGTTGTCGGAAAACTGACTCTACTGTCCTGCCTTGGCATGAAGATGAAGGACCAGGGGTGCGGCAGTTGGCCAGACATTCGCTGGACACTTTCTTTCCAGCCAGTCAAACCTCTGCTGATGCTGAAGTAAGGGAGACAACAGCGAGAAAAGTTGTCTATGGTATGCTCGTTCACTGTGGTGGACACACATTCATTTGGTCTATAAATAAGGTCTATTAGATGGATCATGTAGTTCAACATAGACGGTTCTTCATATCTGCAGACTTGTAGTGTACAGTAGAATCTGTAACTAAAGATCACCGTGACTAGCGACCAGCCTGGTACTGCAGACCACTTTGCCAGGCACGGATGGTCACACATTCATAATTGGTTGTGCAGTGCAAACCTCTAACCAAGGACCACCTGTCACTAAGGACCGCTTTCTCTGGCCCCAAGAGTGGGGGTTAGTTACAGGTTTTACTGTATTTCACTTTGTTGATAGTTTACAACTTCGGCAACAAGGCCCGGAACACCACAGACCACAGGAAAGCCTGATCGAAATGAGAGATGTGAAATCAAGATCTTCCTAGGCTGAGGTAAAAGTTCTAGATCTGAGAGATGGTGGACACGAAAATCGTCAACGACTAAGAGTTTTTTTATGACCTTCCTCTGAGAAAAAATATTAAAATGATTTCAAACGCTCGGGCTAAAAAGAAATTCATATTATTTTCATCTTAGAAAGTTACTTTCACTGTTGTTTGTGTATACATACAGGTGAATGATGCCATTGACCCACCGGAGACGACTAGCTTGGGAGAGTACAACACCTTCAAATATTCCAGTAAGCTATATCTGTGCTTCCTGTATAATAACATTTATTTACTTGGTCCGTTTCATCGCAATTGTCGCTTATCTCCCACGCACCTTTTGACAGGTAAAACCCAGTCCTATCTCGATATCTAACTCACATTCGTTTGGGAGGTTGTGATGGCAAGATCAGAGGAGCCAGAAAGAAAAAAACCATCGCGACTAGCGCCAGTGGCATCGCGATTCATACAATTTTGATGGAAAAGTGGGAAACTTTTCGCTGCAGTGAATGCACACATTCACTGCAGCGAAAAGCCAAGCGCAGCTCAAAGACATCCTCACCTGGAGAGCGTGACAGTCACGGCCAGGCCAGCCAGCTCAGTTGTTTGAACTGCAATGTTTGAACTGCAATGACCTGGTATTCTTTGCAAGCCTGCAAACTGATGGCGAGATGGTGGCAAAGAAGACATTGTCCGACCTGGCAGCGGCAGCACAAGAGTCGTGGTCAGCGTATCCAGCAGAGCGTATGACAGCTGTCTGGAGAGGGATGTGTGCCTGATTCAAAAACATTGTTGAACACACAGTACTGTAGTGACAGACGGGTCACGCTGCCCATGTTCCTCCAAGTGCCAAAGTGACAACCGCGACTGTTCCTTTCCCTCGTACGCCAAGCGGAGAAAGCAAGAGATACGGTACTCTACGCTAGCAGCTAGCTCAAGTGGCATGAGCTCGAGTGATACAGAAGCAGAGTCGGATAAACTAAAGCCTGAGTGCAAGAAGGCGCTCCGTCGCTGTTTTCTTTTGTACATTTTTTGTAACCTTGCTTCCTTTCTTCAACTTGCTTCATCAGATTCCATCCCTGAATTTATTTCTTGTGGCGGACAGGAATCCTGTATCATGCTTCTTCACTATGCGTATTGGAAATTTCACAGAGCGGTAAAAAAACTCCTGTTCTTAGTTGCGATAGATAAGCGACAATTGCGATGAAACGGACCAAGTATTTTATTTATTTATTTCGTCGTGGGACAAGTTTATCGTCACCGGGCAACTATAGTGCGTTTGAAAAGACCTCTAGACCTTTTTGCATAATTCAAATTCGGTGTGAGTTTTTTGAGAAACTTCTTCGGAATATTGCTCAGGCAGCAGGCAGCTACCGCAATTTTCTCATATAAATTTCTGTGCGATTGGATAACAAACACCCACTTTTGGAAATTTTATGCACAAAGTGATCACAGATTTTATGTGGCATAGATGCTGGCCTAACGGTTTTTTGAAACCAGAGGTCTGGACTCTTAAAACGCACTATAAGAATAGGCTGCCAAGAAAGCTGGCTAAGGCTCCCCACAAATTGGCAGTGTGCTGGAATGAGAGTCTCATCATGTATGATTCATACATGTAGATACACACATACATCGTTTATCCGGCCAGTCCGGTACTGGGCACTGCCCGTAGCTTTGAAATGTCTGTAACTCAGAATCACACACACCTTGATGGGGGAAAGGCCATAGATATGGCATATGGCGTTACCATTTCCACGAAAAGTGACCGAAGAGTAGGAACGCTTCCACTGGAACTCACCCAAAGCGTGCCCAGTAGACAAAAGTGGCCGAAAAGTCGGGGCCTGGATAGCCGCGAGGCATGAATGTATAGAGGAACTCTGGTTAGGTATATCCCTCGCATGGTCATGGGCAGCAGTGATGTGTTCTTAGTACAGAAAAACCTGGGACAAAAGACCACCCCTTGGGGCCAGAGAAAGCGGTCTTTAGTGGCAGGTGGTCTTTAGTCTTTAGTTAGAGTTTGCACCGCTCAACCATTCTGTGAATGTGAGACCGTCCGTGTCTGTTGAAGTGGTCTGTAGTGCCAGGTTGGTCGCTAGTAACGGTGGTCGTTAGTTACAGGTTTAACTGTATATCCCATGCATGGCCATGGGGAGCAGTGATGTGTTCTTGGTATATCAGTCAACCTCATGAATGACGCTCTCGGCTATAATCACAACTCGCAAACAACGACTACATTATCTTCAGACCTAGTGACCGTTTTGCTCCACACTTTCACCCTCGTGAATACCGGCAACTCGCAAATACTGTAGAACGGGTAATTTTAGCGACGTAAAAACCCTAGCGAATTTAGAGATCTACTCATTTTCGCTAAAGCTTCAAGTCGCTAATCCGTTGAGACATTAGTAGTGCACTGGTGATCCGTGAGTAAAATCGCTGCAAATCGCTAAAATAAAACGTTGCTAACCGGTTGACAATGGGAAAAGCTAAAATTAATAGTCGCTAAAATTACCAGTTCTACAGTAGAGACTTTTCTCAGTCACGAGCGAGGGTGGCTACCCGCAAGGATAAATTGTTCTCAAGGTACTTCTTACCCCAGCGTGCATCAGTATGGAGCGCTACACCACTGTTTCGGAGAATGTCCGACCATGGCGAGACTTTAGTGAGCGCATTATACGAATACATATTGCTAAAGTAAATTCCACTGTAGCATAGTTGAATGGTTCCGGAACAGATCTCAAACCGGAGAAGCTGGTAACTAAAAAGGTTTTTCGAGTGGCGAGTATTGAATCCGGAAATGTTACGTGTATAGCATATAGAAAAGAAATAGGACCAAGAAACTACAAGTTACGCTATAACGCTAGGTTACGCTATAATGTTATCGCATGAGCTGACTGTTGAGTAACTGGTGGTGTTAGTGGACAATATAGCGTAACTTGTAGTTTGAACAACAAAGGAAGTGCTAAAGCATTACATAATAGGTGTCAAACATAGTGCTAACGTATATAACTGAGTGCAGCCACAAAGCAAGCTGGTTATCAGATGTAAATGTTGTGTCATGTTGCACTGTATCACCTCTTGCTTTGTGGCTGCACTCAGTTATATACGTTAGCACTATGTTTGACACCTATTATGTACCTTGTAGTTTCTTGGTCCTTTTTCTTTTCTATAAATTAATCCTTGGCTCTCCACCTGAGTGCATCTGTCCCCGGGGAAAATTGCGATTCCGCGGCCGCGTTTTTTTCCGCGTTTTTTGCGATTTTTTAAAAGACCGCGTTTTCCGCGATTTTCCCGCGTTTTTTGAACTTTTTTGTTGGACTACACGTACACACAGTGCACTGTTCGGTCAGCAACGTCTCATCGTGGCGGCTTTTTACTCAAATATGACGAGTGCTTACACCAGAGACTTGTAACTGATTGATTTCACTACATACTCACTGAAAATTGCCGCACATCAATATTATTCACCGCATATTTACCGCATATTTACCGCAAATTCACCGCAAATTATGCCATATTATGCCGCGTTTTTCCCCGCGTTTTTTGCGATTTTTTTCCGCAATTTTCCCCGGGGACAGGTGCATTCTTGTATAGCATAATGTTGCATTGATTCCGTAATGCATCCCTATTCAAATCCGAGTTACCTGGGATTTCGGGAAGGCTTAGCAACTCCATCCCTGGTGGCATCAATATCCGAAATAACTATGGACAGCTGAGTTTGTTAAACTCTCTATCTGGATGGATCCACCCATGCCATGTTTGTGTTGCTGGGTTAACACTACAGTTCCTCCCTTGTTAGTAGATAATCCCCAGGCCATTAAAAAGATATCTTGTAACGAGGCAGGCATAGTGGAATGGTCTAAGACCATGATTGAGAAACAGAGGGTTCCAGGTTCAAGTCCTGCTTGGAAGCGGAAGGGTTTTTTCCAGCCGTGCTGCGACCCACAGTTAATTGGGAACTCGTGGCCTGGCACGAGGGAAACATGGATGCAGTGAATGGGATTTCGGTCTTTGACCACTTCGTGGTGGGTCTGATCTACTCACCTCCCACCGCTTAGGAGCTGCATCTGCGCCTTGATCCAAGAGGGTGGTGGCGTTCCTGCGGATGCGGAAAACTGGGCCTTTGCCGAGTCTCACGCGAATCGTGAATTTTTTGTTTTTGTTTGTAACGAGACTTATCTTGTAACAGGATTTGCAGCTAAAGGTGAAATAGGCACTAATTCGTACTCACCTTGGCTACCCTCGATACAACCTAAATTGTCGAGGCTTCAACTCGTTATAAGATAATTGAAAATCTCCAACATAGCTTTTTTCTTGGATGCAAAAGATCGTACATATCTACGAATATAATGATATAGTACGTTGTGCCTTTCTGCTTTATCCTATGTGCTTTGGTCTTGGTCCTGCATGGTCAATATTATCTTATACTGAGGGTTTGGCATTCAAGGGTCCTGGGTAAAGGGTTGTTACAACGAATTTCATGTACTAACGAATTATGTTGTAACCGGACCTGTAAACAGTTGTATAGACCACGTTTCGCCAGGGGATTTCAGATTTCTATTGTACTACTAACAGGGTTTATGTACTAACCGGACTCGTTATAACGAGGGAGGACCTGTACTTTCTCTTCCCCTTGTGCCTTTCTCTGCTTTCTCTCTCTCCCTCTCTCCCTTTCTCTCTCTCTCTCTCTCTCTCTCTCTCTCTCTCTCTCTCTCTCTCTCTCTCTCCAACTATATCCCTTCCGTTCATCCAGACCGAGTTTCTATTGACGCCAGGGGAGAGTTTGTGATCGATTTTGAAGTCCCGGACGAGAAAATCATCACTGCACTCGCCTTCTACTGCAATGCAACGTTGTCGTGGACGGATATTCCGACGTCGTTCAACGAAAGCCTCGCTCCCGGCCTCATTGGGGTTGTACATTCAGGCTATGATAGCATGGTAAGTAGAATGGTATGATGTGGCCACGTGTTGAGGTCGGCTGAAGAGCATAGTTATGGTTGTTGCTTTTGTTGTTGTTTTTTATTTGAATTCGCAATACCAAACGGGCAATACGCCCAATTACATGGAAGTAATGGATGGTGTGGCGGGTAATGAAAAATCCGTACAGGGCCGAATGCTATACTTAGTATACACTTTGAAATAATAAGTACAATCATGATACGTCAAACCCAACATGATCAACAAAGGAAGTGGTCTCACTGATGCAAACTCTATGATCTCAACCCGATTTTCGGCCAGGAGCCATGATCAGGATTGCATGAGGATATGCCAGTACACATACAATCATGTCTGGGATTGGCAATAAAGGAACGCCGCCGGGGGATCGAGTCGCCGTTTACACGACCGGTCCTTAAAACTCGATCTTCCGGGAAAGGCCTTTCTACATATGTGCCTTGGGCAGCAGAAATTTGTGATATCTGTTGATCTGTTTGTATCCGCCAGACTGTTGGACCCGATCTCCAATGTACATGTCTATAGTTCTGTTGCATTGCTACTTGGTGGTGGTGCTCCTCAGTTGCTGCTGGGGCTGGGAGTGTTGCTGGTGGTGCTGATGCCACTGCTGCTAACGTTAGGGCTGGTACTACTGCTGCCGGTACCTAAAGCAAAGTGCTTACCGCCCAACCCTTGCATCGATTTAGAGCTCTAGTGCCCCGAAAAAGGTGGCTGATGCCCCCCCCCCTCCCTAGCCCTTCACACCAGCACTGCTACCCATACCCAAGCATTCTGCATGAACCGCTTTGCCAGCAACGCGTGTTTTTCATCAGTGTATTTTTGGTACTACAGTTCTCAATATGAGTAGACTCCACTGCAGCTACCCATCATAAATTTATATCCATACATCTTCACAACACTCTCAAATCAGTCTCTGGACTGCACCAGTCACTGAAAAAGAAGAAGAATGGCGTCCACGTTTCTTGGTACTGGTGCCGTTATTGTCATTGGTGTTGCTGCAGTTTGACATGCAGTTCTTCTACGACGGAGCGTGCTATTCTGGTTCCAGCTCACCGTCCGGGGGACTCAACGGCGGCGCGGTCTTCGCCATCGTGTAAGTAGGGGAGTGAACGGGCAGGGGTTTGGCTGAGAGCACTCAGTGTTTGTGCGTGCACCCAGGTGTACAGGAAGGCATGTACAGTCAACGCCGCTAATAACAACTGCAGATATAACGACAATTCGCGAATAACGACAGAATTTCCATACCCAGAGCAAAGTCCCATCCCACTGTAGTACAAAATATAATGAGACTTCGGGTATAAGGACACTTCGCTTTTCTGATACCCCGCCGAGTGTCGTTATAAGCAAAGTCGACTGTACTCATATGGGGTGAACGGGTAGGAGTTTACGTGACAAGATGGCTGAGAGCACTCAGCCTACATGTATCATGCATGCGCTGACGTGTGCAAGGATGCATGCGCTGACGTGTGCAAGGATGCATGCACACGTGTGCAAGGATGCATGCACACGTGTGCAAGGATGCATGCACACGTGTGCAAGGATGCATGCACACGTGTGCAAGGATGCATGCACACGTGTGCAAGGATGCATGCACACGTGTGCAAGGATGCATGCACACGTGAGCAAGGATGCATGCACACGTAACGGAGCGAAAACGCAAGTACAGTAAAACCTGTCAAGGCGACCACTCGGATAAGGCGACCGACCACCTGTCCCAGAAGACCACTGAAGCCAGGATCAAGGGATGTTATTTCCAGTCAAATGACCCTGGATAAGGAGACCACCTGGTAACAGAGACCACGTTTTGACGGTCCCTTGAGCGGTCGTCTTAAACAGGTTTCTTTGTATTTACGTGATGGCTGGGCCCAGTCAGTGTAGAGGCATGCACCCGGATGTGCAAGAAGGTATCCACATATATACATGTACACCTACTGCCGCGAACATGGAAATCCAGCCGAATGACCAGGGCAGGCGCCCTCAGCGCGTTCAGAACGTTGCATGCACAATGCACGTGTTGATCAGATGCGACCAGCGCGCTGCGGCGCACAAATGCATGTGTGTACCGCTTACCCACGGCTGCATGGCCAGCGCCCTGGGGCCGCTAGACGTGCGACCGGATTTCCATGTCCACGACAGTATCATACCAGCTTGCAGTGAATGCCCTGTCGATGTCCGTGGATCTCGGGTACCCTTCCCCAAGTGCCCCCCCCCCCCTCTCTCTCGTATCACTTCTGCTCCAATGTTTTCTTAGAAAAAAACATGAAAACCTGGTACCTGAGCACGAGATTGCTGTCCGGCATGTACTAAAGGAGTTCAGGAGCCATTCAGACTAGCTACAGTACTGTTTGGTGCCAAAGAACGTGGTGCCCAAGAACGGCCACGCTAGAATTTCACCAACCACAGCAAAGTGATATTATGCAAGGTGACTCTACTGCACATAGACAGCCATGCATGAAAATACATGTAAGAAGAACAGTACAGGCTACGAGGCTGACCTCCCCCCAAGTTCTTCACCACCTGTCAGTACAGTACTGTGTGCCGCATCTCAGACTACCAACACTGTTTTGATACAACAAAAGGATAAGACCACTATGCTGAAGCTTGTCATTTGCCACACTATCTTGAGTTGCATGGCTGAACAATTCAGTTTGGCGTGTTCACACGGCTAAGCAGTTGTGCTGTTCTTCAGCTCAGCTCTTGGTATGCTCCAACATGCTGTTTGCTTTGTTTCTGTCTGGACGTACACAGTCTCTTCTCTCTGATCATTGCCTACGTCGTTGGCGGAACTTTCATCAACATGGCATTCCGTGAGCGCAATGGCATCCAAGCCTTCCCCAACTACGGCACCTGGTCGAAGATCTTCGGATTCATTGGCGTGAGTTGGATTGGATTTTGATGTGCAATGCCATACTGTATAGTAACTGGCCAGAAAAAAGCCAATCAGCTGTGTGGTGTAAAAAAATAAAAAATAAATTCACGGTTCGCGTGAGACTCGGCTAGAGGCCGAGTTTTCGCATCCGTAGGAACGCCACCACCCTTCAAGGATCAAGGCGCAGATGCAGCTCCTAAGCGGAGGGAGGTGAGTAGATCAGACCCACCACAAAGTGGTCAAAGACCGAAAATCCCATTCACTGCATCCATGTTTCCCTCACGCCAGGCCACGAGTTCCCAATTAACTGTGGGTCGCAGCACGGCTGGAAACAATCCTTCCGATGCCAAGCAGGACTTGAACCTGGTACCCTCTGTTTCTCAATCATGATCTGTGGGGTGTGGTGTGGAACAGGTTACAATTAGTGGGGGTCAATTCTTCAGCCTTGCAAGCTGTTGAATGGTGTAATCCCAGCACAACTTGCTATGTCTACCATGGTTTGTTCGCTATCATCGCTTCAGCAATGGGCAGGTGTACGTGTGTGTGAATAGGATTACAGCCATACTGAACATTCTCAAATGCTGTGAAGTACTGGTAGAGCCCCCTACACCCACCGCCATACCTTTGTTGCTGTTGTGTGGGAGGTGTGGCGGACAAACAAGTCCTTTCGGTAAATCATACCGAAAGGTAGATCATACACATACACATACACATCCCAGAACTGTTGAGCAGTCTTGCGGTGGACGGGGACCGTTTCTCCGGTGTATTCCACGTACAATGTCAGGGCCGGAGGCAGCTCCCACGGAGCAGTGCGGCCGAGTGCCCTGTTAAAGGGGGGGGGGGGTCCTCCCCCAGAACATTTTAGGAATTTAGAAGGCAAATCCTGCAAACTGGGTGCATTTCGATAGATCTCTCTGGGTACAACTTGCAAGTCTGATATTCCAATGCAGAATGCACTAGTTTCAGACAGTGCACTTATGATAGGCCACTGTACGTAGAATGTTCCTGATGACAAGGTAATCCGTTTTTTACGACTCCCTGTACAAAATCATACATCAAAACTTTTCCTCCCCGGTTTTTCGGACGTCCTACGTGGACCAACGTTTTGAGAAATTGGTACGGCCATGGCCGCACCAGTGGCACCGGCCCTGAATGGACAGTGCTGCTCACTGACATCCAACCGTATTAGTTCGGTACGCTCTGCTGCGGGCACCATGCAGCCCTAGACCTGTGAATACTGGGCTGCGAAATGGCGCAGGGCGCACACTTTTAACACTCACACAATCGGGTATCATTGCGCAGCACTGTACAAACATTGTATGTTGTGTTTAAAGTGTACTGTAAGTCTACACATTTTCAGCGTGGTCAAGTTTCGGCCTCCCAGGACTAAAACGAATTTCAGCCGCATTTAAATGTTCGGCCTGTACTGCTGCTGCCTGTATACACTGTCACACTGAACATTGCAAATCAAAATTTCGGCGGCAGCAAATTTTCGCCTAAATATGCCCAGGCCGAAAATAGCCGAAAATAAAATATGCGCCGAATATTTGTTGACTTAGAGTACTCAACCGGTGCTCAGTTTACGTTTTGAGAACATGAGAGAGTACTCAACTGGTGCTCAGTTTACGTTTTGAGGACATGAGAGCTCCACACAACAGCAGCGGGTTGGTATGGTGTCGTGATGCGAGACCCTAGTGCATTCAGCTGCTCACATCACTTGACATTTGTTGCACTCTGCCGTACTGTTTGCCTTTCACTGGCTGCAAATCAAGGCCGGTTGTTCTTGCGAGATGGGGTGCTCCTGCGCGGCTCTTGGTCTTTTTTTTAGCCCTGGTCCAACTCTATTTGAAGACCTACTTCGAAGTAAATGC